CTGCAAAGTTTGACCTGGTTGCCTTTCCGATGCTGCAGCAGAGCGAGGCGGCGCTGGGCGCGCCAGGCGGCTGCGGCGCGGCGGCGGGGCAGAGCGGCGACAGCACGCTCACAATGATCATAAAATAAAGAGGCGCTCGGGGTGGGGGCAAGAGAGCCCTGAGCCTCAGCCCTCCGCCCCCGGCTATCCCCACAGCAGCCCGGGAGTCAGGAGGGGCTTGGGGACCCGGGGCGCTCACGCCATCCCCAGACCCTAATAGAGCCGTGGACTACCCTGGGGAGGGGGGCGCCCCGAGAACGTGTGGGCGGAGGGGTCGGGGCGTCCGGAGGGCAGTGACCCAGGCACCCGGAGCGGCCCTAGGGGCAGGTGAGTTCGCGACGCCCCCTGGGTGGGGAGGTGAGTGCCAAAGTTCCCGGGCAGAGGTGAGCGCCCCCGACGCTGTGCTCCGCTGCGGCTAGCGGCTGGCGAGGGGAAACCGAGGCAAGGGATGCGGGGGTGGGGGGAACAGGGGACAGCGCGCCCTCTTGGGGTCGAGCCACCTCAGCCGGCTAAGGGCCTCATGGCAGAAAGGACCGGCCTAGGGATGACACTGCGACCCCGGAGGACCTAGAGACCCGAGAGAGAAGGGGCGTTCCACGCTTGTGGCTTGGTGGTAAAACACAGCACGAGGGCCGGGAGGTCCTAGTGACCCACTGCGGTGGCAGTCTGACCGACCCCCTTACCCCGCCCCCGGGCTAGAGGGGTGTCAGCGGAGATGTCACGGGAGGCGATTATTCGCTGGTGCGCGCAGTCGTGCGGCGGCTACTGACGGGGCGGGCGGAGGGGGGGCGCCACCTCTGGGGAGACCGCCCAGAGCTGCGCCGTCAGCTCAGCAGCCCGCGCCAGGCGCACACGCATCGCCGCGCCCTCGCGTCCCCCGCAGTAAAGTTCGGCTCAACTTTGACGCCCTGTCCCTTCCACCTCTCTGCAGGTCCTCAGCGGCCGCGGCGAAGCAGGCGGCGGCGGACACTCAAGCGCAGCCCCGGGGCCCCACGCGGAGGTCGGCGGCGACAGCGACAGTAGCAAAGGAGCGCGCGAGTGGGCGCCGGAGGAGACCCGGAGAGCGCCTAGTCCGGAGCGCGCCTTTTGGAACCGCTCGTGGGTGCCGGCCACGCAGGGCGCCACACCTCTGCCGATTGAACGAGAGCTCACGCTGCAATTGATTGGGCCCCGCCGGGAGGGCGCGTGTGTCCCAGGGAGCGGGTGCGGAAGGCAGAAGGGCAGGAAGTCGGCGTTCTGCAGCGAGGGTGGCGCGACCGCGCGGGGAGCGAGCCTTCCTTATTTATGTGCCTGTCAGCGCTCGTCTGCTTCCTCCGAAGACTTCAGGGAGACTGTCCAAGCTACCATCCCCAAGTGTGAGAACGCAAGGCTGAATGTCAGAACAACATGCTTATCCATTAAACTGCAAACTTTTCTTTTTTTAAACCCAAAGAATATCGGTGGCTTTTGCCCACTGTTAGAAGAGGGAGCCCAGGGCTCTTGAGATGCAGCAGAATCCGTATTTATAATCAGGTTCGATAGTGCTATGCAAGCCCCCTCCACTCAGTAAATTCTCTATCCTATGGATCTCGCTTTTGAGCTTTGAGATTAGATTGCGCGCTCTACGCTGGGTCCTGCAACCTCCATCCTTTCAATGCCCTGTTATTTTTGGGACTGCTGGCATTTCCTGGAGATTAGAGCGGTCCTGTGTGCCATGGGCTGTATTCAGAGCATCGGAGGCAAAGCCAGAGTCTTCCGGGAAGGAATTACGGTGATTGATGTGAAAGCCTCCATCGACCCCATCCCCACCAGCATTGATGAGTCCTCCAGTGTGGTCCTGCGCTACCGGACACCCCATTTCCGGGCTTCAGCCCAGGTGGTCATGCCGCCCATCCCCAAGAAGGAGACCTGGATCGTTGGCTGGATTCAGGCATGCAGCCATATGGAGTTTTACAACCAGTATGGGGAGCAGGGCATGTGAGTACTTGGGGGGACATCCTGGGGGTGGGGGAAGCTGCAGGGTAAGGTGAGGGGTGCTGGAGCAGAAGTTTTGGGGACACAGGGGTCTTTAGGCAGAGGCAGAACTATCTCCAAGCCTTCTCCAACTCTCTGGAGCCTTTACTCTCTGATTAGGGTCCTAGCTCAGTTAGACCTGCGGTGCTATTGTCCCTGGTGCCCAGAGTTGATCTGTCCTTCGTGGCACGATGCTGAGAAAGCAGGAACCTGTGTCTCTTTGGTAAAGCAAGTGCCAGGGCTACCGGGGGTAACCAGAGAAGGCACTACCCTAACCCAGGCTCAGGCCTCCAGGAACCCTTGAGGCAGGCAGGAGTGGTAGAGGCCTCTGAAGCTTCCACACACCGTTGTAGAAGACTTTGTGGCAGGGCCTGGACTTGTCTGGGGCATGGGATGGGGTGGGGGGTTTGGAACCCACAGAAAGCTGCAGAGGACAGCTTTGCCATTGTCAGTGGCGGAGGCTGGTGGCAGCGTGTGTGTGTCTGAGAGGGAATTCAGAAATCTACTCTGCAGTGTGCAGCTTTGTCTCCCAGTAGAGGTTAAGGTTAGCATCCGGTGTTCCTTCAATGGGGCCCTAAGTAGGAACAGCTAGAGGAGAGCAGGGGCTTCATCTCCGTGGTTTGGTCACCTAAGATGTCATAGACCTCCACAGGGACCCTGAGGCTCCTGGGTCATGTTCTGCATGTTCCCTGGTCCCAAAAGAGGGCCATCCCCCATGTGGAAATCATGCGCACAGAAACAGCCGTGAAAGCTGCTATGACCCAGTGGTTCCCCGGCGGACAGTCCCTGGCTTGACCTCTGATGGCTCACGGATACTGTCTCATGGTCGTTGGTGTCCACTCTGTGTGGCCTCACTTCTCAGCTGTGCACGTGGGGAAGAGGGGTCTCTTGGAGAGTGGGCGCTTATGTTTGGCGGATGTCCGGGATAACCTGGTTCACCAGGGCTGAGGGTGGCCCAACTCAGGCCAACAAATGTGCCTTCTCCATTCGGCGGCTCCTAAACTCTAAAGGAAACAGGAAGAGGGGATCTGATTTGAAACTGGTCGTCACCCTGCTGGCCTAAGACCATTGGGGCACATGGATCACTGGGCTCCCTACAGGTCGACCTCGGAGTCCTTCCCCTTTTAAGACTGTTGCAGCCACAGCTACTCCGAGAGGGGTATTCAGGGAAGGTCTTCCCAAGCAGCCTTCTGCGAGTCCCACACCTCTTCCTTGGCTTTGCAAAGCATCACGAGAGTTGCTAAGACATACAGGCTTTTCTCAGGGTGAACCTAATGGCTTCCCTGATGCCCCCTCAGCCACCCCTGAGGGTCAAGAGCCTCCGGGTGACCATACTTCACTATTGCAAGTCCTGGGTTCCTAGTTAGATGAACTCTGCAGTCACTTCTCAGGGTGTGACCCTGGGCAAGTGCCGTAGCCACTGTGAGCCTCAGTTGACTCAAACAGGCCGATCATAGTTCCTTCTGTGTGGTTTATTGAGAGAGTTACTCAGACAACCTTTGCCCGCACCGTCAGACTAGGCCAAGTTGATGAAAATCTGCAAGCAGGTGGCCAGCAGCCTCGCTATGATTTCAGTTTCAGGTCTCCCAGACAGAAATATGTAAAGTCGGGTCTAGTGGCTGAAGCCACTGAGCTAGAAAAGATGCTGGCTACCCCTTATAATGAGTTTTCGCCCCAGCCTGGGTCCTACACTCTCTTTAAATTGTAAAAATAGCTTCAGTCAGAGATGGTTAAAGCGGCAGAGGCCAGTTTCTTTGCTCTCTCTTGATTAGTGGCTGACTCGGCTCTTTCACCCAGATCACCAGACTTAAGTCCCAGGTGGGGCATGGCCAGCTGCAGTGTGGGGACAGGGGCAGGTGACCGTGCTTTGGAGAAAATGCCATGAATGGAGCCACTTGTCTGTTCGCGACTGGTCAGCAGAACAGTGCGAAGTTTGGGCTTGCTGAGTGGTTCTGTTCCTGCGGTCCCACTGCACGTGGCGCTGTCCCCATCCTGTCTCATGGACACCGAGGGCTGCTCTGCAGGAACTCTGGACTCCACCTTGCATAGCTCCAGACTGCAAGCAGAAACCTTTAGATGGTGTTGTTAAAAGAACCTTCCAGGCTGGACACGCTGGCATATACCTTTTAATTCCAGCACCCTGAAGGCAGAGGCAGGCAGATCTCTCTGAATTGGAGGCCAGCCTGGTCTACATTGTGAGTTATAGGACAGTCAGGGCTTCATCACGAGACCTTGTTTTCAAAGACAAAGCAAAACAGTGCCTGACTGTATTAACGGCGGTCTCTGAGCTCTTAAACCCCAAGTGAGTGGGTGATTGTCCCTACCCGTGCCTGCGCCCTGGTCAGATACTTCTCGTTGGCAACAGGGGCTGGCAGGTTGGGGGGGGCATTACAGAGGATGCTTGGCTCCTCCTCTTTGAGTATACCACTCACCCCTAACTTGTAACAACCACAAATGTCCACAAACATGATCCCATCTCCTCTGGAAGGGGTGTGGAATTACTGTTAGACTCAACCCATACGAATTAGGGCTCTAAAATGAACTCTAGACTCTGGGCCTTGGGAGGGCAAAGCCAGGTGGCCCAGGCTGGATTAGGATTTGTATTCTTTACAAATGGACCTGTATGAGAAATATTAATTCTGACTGCTTATCTGAAATCTGTAATATCCCCAGCATTATCCCTGCTTGAAGTTAGTCTCTGAGCGAGGGTGACTTGGTGGATGGCATTCTGGACTTGAAGTTATTGGAGAGGGAGCATTGCCATTCCGAGAGCCACCACCTCAGTCACAGCCCAGCTGTGCAGGAGTATGCTGGAAGATGGCGGCTCTTTCGTGCCCACATGAGAGCGTCCAACCCACGGTACTTTCAAAGTCAGCCCCCCTCCAAACTGTCGGAGACACCTGCCTCCTCAGCTGTCCCCCGCAATTCCTCAACTGCCACCTGTCAGCTGGTGTAGACTTCTAAGTGACAAGTCAGAGTTTCCTGCCTGTGTGGGAGACACTGTGCGTGCTGTCCCTACTTTGCCCTTCTTTGGCATTCTCTGGGGACCTGGCCCATGGCGAGATCAAGGCCAAAGCCAGGAGTGGTGTATCTCAGGATGAGCTGATGTGGGGCTGGGCCGAGGGGAGAGCAGGTCGGACTTTGTGGTGCCCACCTTTGAAATGGGGATGCTAGTTCCTCCCTGCTTCCTTGTCCCAGTGGGCTGAGTGGATGAGTAAGGTGCTGGGTGCTTGGCACAGAGCCAGCACCCTGGAGCTCTCCCTGCGCCGTCTCCCTAGATAGCGGGATTACAAATCCCGAGTATTGGATTATTGTTCTATACTGTGCGACCAAGAGCTAAGCCAGGACCCATGTGTGATGCCGTTGCTCTCCCACCTCCCTGGGTCCCTTCCCACCCCAGGGCAGCTTTGGCTCCTGAGGCCTTGTGAGCTCTTCTGAACCACACATGTTCTGCCAGGCACATCTCTTACAGGGCTCGGAGAGACTCGGAGTAACATTGGAGCTTTCCTTTCTTCTACCCTGCTATCTCTGGGGTGCACCCCAGAACCTCAGAGACCCTAATTTGAGGATGAGAACTCAGACTACAAACCCCAAAGCCACTTGCCCAAGGATGTTTGCTCAGCACCTGAGAGCTAGGGGAAGGCCTCAGGAGGAATGTCCTGGCTGGCCATGTGGCCTCTTCCCGGAGCCAGGGCCTGCGCGCCTCACAGAACAATTGAAGACTAAGCTTCCTGTCTTGGGGCGGAAGGCAGCTTCCCCCATCTGCTGGGCAATGGCGGAGGCCAGGGCGGGGTGAGTGGGAGAGGGAAGTCCTTGCTTCCGAGCTTCAGGGTGGGAGGGAAGTGGTGGGGGTGGCCCATCCTGGGAGAACTCCCCCCGGGCTAGCTGTGACCAAGTGATGGCTCCAGTCTGAATCTGCCTTCTGAGAGTGGGAAGCAAGTGGCCTGTTCTGGGGACGCACGGACGGACGCCAGCAGCCAGGGAGTTGAGGGCAATGCGAAGGAAATGCTGGGAGCCACCACCGTAGATCAGCAGAGTGGAGAGAGAAAACTCCAGTCTAGGCAGGCGCTAGCTGCTGTGTGCTGAGCCTGGCTGTCGCTGGCTGCACCTTTAGTCCAGGGCTTCTGCTTTCAGGGTCTGGCTTAGAGAACACTTTACCCTCGTCTGGGCCTGACTTCTAGAGACACCATAGGTGGCCAGTCTAGTGAGCAGGGGCAAAGTACATACATGTGGAGAAATGAGTCAGGGCTGCATGCCACTCTGTGAAGATCTTGCCCTGGGACTATGGCAGCAGGGAGCTGCAAATACCCCAGGCATCTTGCAGTTGGGAGAGAGAAGTAAGATCTGTCCACTGTGCAGAGTACTGCTGTTACAAACAACCAGGTTTCCATGGAAACAGTGTTGCATTAAAATGGAAGATGAACCTAGGGTCCTGCTCAATGGTAGAGATCTTGCCTTGCGTGTGAGAGGCCTTGGCTTCCATCTCCAACACCACAAAACCCAACAAAGCGGGCAAGAATGGAATCGGGATGGTTCGTGGTAGGGAAGATGGTAAACGGGGCACATCCTGTGGACACGCAGAGATGTCTAGGATGTTTACTGAAGTATGCTGTCATGAGTACCGTCCAGGAGGAGGGGCGGAGGAGAAATGGCTTCAGTTTTTGCTTTATTTATTTCCTAATGGCTTGCTTTTTTAAAGAACACATTACTAGAAAATAATGAAAATTTGAAAGCGAGAATAGTTTATTGGGTGCTCTGACAAAGGCCAGTGCTGGGTAGTTCTGACCACAATGTTTGGCCTTGACGCTAAAGTTAAGCAGGCACTGTTGGGTCCTTCCTCCCCAGGTTAGGTCAGGGCTGGGACCCGAGTCTGGAGGGGTCAGACTCCAGATGGCATCAGCAGTGGGGCTGTGGAAAGAAGCAGCACACATCCCTTGCTTGAGCCGTGGGCAGGTGCTGGATGC